CCCACGCCGAGCCCCGTCGCTCCGCCACCCGCAAGGTCCGACGTGCGCCGTTTATCCTCCGGGACTTCCCGTGGATGCACCGAGGGAGGGCCCAGGCGCTCCAACGGGCTGCTGGCGAGTCTGCACCGCTCCCTGCAGGCGACTGGCCTGCGAAGTTTTTATTTCTAGGAGTTTACACCAAGAAGTCTGGGTTTTACAGGCTCAACGCCACCGAGCTCTAAGTGCAGCCCTCAACCACCCCCTCAGCTCCTCCTAAGAACCCAGCTGGAGGGCTGCCTGGAGGTGGTGATATGCCCAAGGGGGAGCCCTTACAGGGCCAGGAAGAGGGCACTAGTGAGCAGGCCTAGTCGCTTGTGTCCCATCCCGCCACAGCCCCATCTTGGCAAGACAGAGAGTCCAAAAGGGATTTCAGCCCCCAGCTTTTAGCCCTCATTCCTTTCAGTCCTCCAGTGGGAGCAGGTGACCCTGGACCATGACCACTAGCGGCCTTGGATTTGTGGCTCTTTAGAAGTTTAGCTCAGACACTGGGAACACAGAAGCCACATACCAGTCTCCTGCAGGTGGAGAGAGGGTGCCCAGAGACACAGGACTTACCGAGGCCCTAAGACCCCCGGAGTCCTTAGGGTTTGTGGGAGGGACAGGGGGGTCATATCCTGTACTTTGTGATCTTCTGCCCTGTTGATGACTGGGGGAAGTTGTGGCCCCCCCACCACAGCATCCTCCCCATCATGGAACAGGTGGCAAGGAGGAGGGGACACAGGGACAGTGCCACTCTGCACTGCACCCTAGAGATCCACACGGCCCTGGATGGTGAGGTGGAGGACACAGCTGCCCTGAGAACTAGACCAGACCTCAGGACTGCCCTGCCTAGGGAGGGGGACTGGTGACAGATAGGCTCCTCAAACTCAGCAGGATAGTAGTTTATTTAAATAGAAGGCCCAGGTGGCCTACAGGTATCCTCTCCCTGGCTCTCAGCAGTGAAAAGTATTTTGTTTTGTGGTCATTATGTGATACTCAGCTCCTCAAATGAAGTGCCCCGGTGGGAATGGGTCCCAGGCAAACAGTATCGGGAGAGGTACAACCTGCTAGCTGCAGGGGCCTGGGAAGGGGTGGAGCCAAGTCCCCAGGAGAGAGGTTTGTTTGACATTTCTGTGCTAATCAGTGTCTGTCTACAAAGGGAGGGGCTGATTAAGCCCAGGTTGTGATGAGACAAACAGACCCTACCAGGACAGAGGCCCTCAAATGAGGTATGTTTTAAACCGCCTTCTTCTGACCTTGTGGTCTTTACACAGCAGAAGGTGCAAAGGGACTCAGGTGCCCAGCCCTAGTCTGTCTGCCTCTCAGCACCTGGCAGGAGGGAGGCCCAAAGGCAGTAGGCTGTGGGCTGCACGTGGGCTGGGCTTGGGATGCTCCACGTCAGGTGTGTGCTGGGTTTTGCTCTAACGTTAAGGTGGGAAAGCCAAGGTCGAACTTCTCAGGCAGGTAAGGACCAGCGGTGATCTTGAAGCCACCTCCTGGAGAGGGCCCTGCTCAAGGCCTAACTCAGCTCCTGCTGAGGCGGTGGCTCCCTGGGGTCCTCTCTACCCAGTCAGGGTGGGTGTGCAGAGACGGCACCCGGGCTCCCTGCTCCTCAGCAGGGGACAGGAAGGTAAATAGTGTGAGCCGGCCTCACGTGTCACTGTCCACTTACCTGCAGCCTCATGTGAGTGAGCAGAGTCTGTGACACTCAGGTGACGGCTGAGGTGGCCCTCAACTCTCTGATGCCCATCTGCCTGCCCTGGTCAACAGACCACCTCCAGGAGGTGCCAGTCAGCCCTCATGTCCACAGAGGGCCAGGTTAGGGGGACAAAAGAGGCACAGACAGTGTGAGTCTGAAGATGGCCTCTTTGTAAAGCAGGTTTGTAAACTGCCCACCCAGTGTGCGATTCCCTCCTCGCTGGGGACACACTCCTTCACGTGGGCGGCACAGGTAAGCGGGGAGAATAGCTGGCGTGGGTGCCGGTTACTGTGCACGCCTGGTGCTCTCTTCTGAGGGGCCAAGGATGTTTGGATTGTAATAGAATACAGTCAGCACAAATCCTAAATTGTGTATTTATTCTACTCTTTTTTTTTTTTTTGCTTTCTTTCTGATGCAACCAGTCCTCGAGTCATCAAGATCCTTCACATCACTTCTACTTCATTGGCAAGAGTGATTCAAAACATTAAAAAGTAATTTTATTCAAAGTGTACATTTAAATGTGTTTTCATCAAAACCTGCAGGAGGAAACTGAATGTAGGACAAGGAAAAAAACAACTAAATTGCATTTTTCAAAAAAGAAAAAAAATTTTTTTCTCAAACATTTGAAGTTATTCATTAAAATTTAAAGGCAAAATGCACATTACAATTTATAAATACAAAAATTTTAAATGAAATTTAAGAATGAACTTGAATTGTTTTGATGTTGAAAGCGTAGTCTTTGAGACAGTGAGTTCTTAAGGAGTCCCAGCAGAGGGGGCCTGGCAGGGGAAGGGGCGCACGCTCAGGCAGGGCTCAGCAGGGCCTGAGGAGGGTGAGTCCAAGGGTCCTCGCCCAGCATCCCCCCATCCGCCCGCGTGAGGACAGCCAGCCTCCCAGAGGGCTCCTGGGAAGGTGGGGAGCCAAAGTGTGGTGCAGAGGATGGGGGAAACCGGGAAGGGGACCCCGCTGAACCAGGGCTTCGGTGGCACAGAAGGGAGGGGGCTTTAGGCTTAGATTTTGAGTGTCCCAAGGGGGCCATGTGTTGGAGCTGGGTCTCCAGGTGATGCTGTTGGGAGGTCTGTGAGTGACTGTGGTGTGCCTCTGGAGGGGCTAGTAGGACTCCAGCACCCTCTTCTGCCTTCCTTGTTTTTTCTTTTTGGTTTTTTTTTTGTTTGTTTGTTTGTTTTGTTTTTTTGCTTCTCAGTAATGGGATGCACAGTTTGCTCCCCAGGAGCTCCCAGGTGTGACCTGCTGCCTCATCACAGGCCCAAAGCAATGGGGCCCATCCATCATGGACTGAAACCTCCAACAGTGGGAGCCTCAATGAACTTTGATTCTTCAGAAGTTATCTCAGGTGTTTTGTTGCGTAATGAAAAGCACCAACAGAAGGCCTGGGAGCAGAAGGGCTGAACGAGGGTGTCCTGCAGGGAGACAGGTGGATGGGGAAGGTGTGGAGTGATTAGCCTGCATGCAGCACATCTCACTGCGACTCCCACCACAGTCAAGACCCTGAATTCTGAGTTCAAGCCTCAGTCAGTCACCAGGCACCAGGACCTGCTCCTGAGAGGCTGATCAGCCGCTCCCAGGGCATGGAGATGGGAAAGGCTGCCTGGCCACCAGCCCAATTTCATTTCCTTTGTACCTAGGAAACGGGTTCTGCTGGCATCACCCTCTCAAAGCTATCAGCACAAGTCGTGTTGCGTATTTGATTTTTAAGGAGGCTATTTTTAGAGAAGTTTCAGGTTTTACAGAAAAGGTGCATACCAAGTACAGAGTTCCCATACCCTCCCTGCCCGTAGCCGTCCGTATCATCCTCATCTGACTTTACTATGGCATGTAGGCCACAATTAATGAATGGACATTTTTAGCTTATTATTGATTGAAGTCACAACTTCTATCAGAGCTCCCTCTGTGTTGTACCTTCCACTGGGTTGTGGTTTTACGTAACACAACATTGACTCCTTCCTGAGCTCACAGTACATCTTAGGTTCTGAGTGATATAAGATGTGCATACAATAAATGTACTACAATAGCAACATGAATAATACATAGATATCCAAACAGAAACATGTAAGTGCCCATAAATAACACAGTTGCTAAGTATAATACCATTTATCTAGTTACATTTAGATCTTAGAAAAACAGGGGATAACTTTCAAGTCCAAGTGTGTTCCATGCCACCTTCAACAGGCTTGCTCTGAACAACTTCATTGGTCATCTGAAATTCAGATTTGGCAGTACATTCTTTATTGTTATTGGCAAAATCTGGCAAGCCTAATACTGAGGAGTCAGGTGAGACTCTTCCTCCTGGACGACTTGGAGCTCACGGGTGCGGACAGAGAAGCTAGGGCAGAGTTGACATGTGGACACACACCAGGGACAGACTGTGCCTGCCCAGAGGCGGAGGTGCAGCTGCTGTCCTGTGGCAGATGGGTGTTTGCCCACCTGGCCTTTCTGCACAGGAATCCCAAGACCCTTTTGGAATTTCTCTCTTTGCCTTGGGAAAATCCCCAAACTTTCCATTTTTTTTTTTTTTGCTTTCTTACTACAAAACCCTGTTTGGAAATCACAGATTCTCCTAATAAGTAAATGCTGCCATTTAAAAATGGTCACTTTGGTGAGCATGGAGTTACTGACAGTCACTGTGGTGAGGTGTTCAGCAAATGCCTTCCTGTCTTTGTGAAGGATCCTGTAGCCAGTCAGATGATGGAGTCACCTGGAGGGAAATTTGAGCTCAGTTGGTTTGGAGCTGAGCCTGGCATGGGCACTTTCTAATAAGGTGATAGGCCAAGGCTGGGAAAATAGGAGACAAATGTCCACAGTGGAAAGCCAGGAAGCAGAGCGTGGAACTTGCTCTCCAGAATGACCAGAGGTGGATTTGGAGTCTGTGATCCCCTTGTTCCTAAGTGGAAGGACCACTGGAGCACCTCGCTTGGCCAGGCTGAGCTCCTCTGTACTGATCAGCAACCAGCAGAAGGCAGGCTTGGACTCACCCCAGCCAGCCCTCTCCAGCCCCCACCAGACTGTGTTCTCACGGGTTCCCAGCAGCATTCAATGGAGCCACAGTTGGGTCATGAGCATTTTCACTGGGATTTGGAAACTGGATAGCCAGAGAACAATGGGACCCCTCTCTGGGCCCTGTGACTCTGGTGAGGCATCCAATCTGCTGATCAGGGGGATTGAGAGGACCCTAGAGATCAGGAAGTCAACCAGTGCACTTTCTACAAAGCACACTGACCCATCCTGGCAGATGGCACCACAGGTAAAGAAAAGGTCAAGGAGCCGAGAGGCCTCATGCACATCCCCAAGAATGACCTCTCAGAAATCTCAGCTGACTCTTAAGAGCAGAAGGGACAAAGTCAGTTTTGACCAACTTGGTCTTAAACACCTGACAGAAGAGTGTGTAGCCTGAGCACAGTCCTATACGAACATTTAAAAGGAAAAACCATGGTTTTAAAAATGTAACTTAAGATATATACTCCTGTCAGCCTTATCAAAAGGAAGTCAAGCTGGCGGCTATGTAAGAAGGGTCCTTGTGTGGGAGTCCCTGATAATAAGGATCACGAAGGATCTAGAGTCACAAGATTGTCCTGAGTTAATTTGAGCCTCATCTCATAGACTTACAAATCTTCCTAACTTCCTACATTGATAAACTCGATCTGTTTTCCACTGATATGATTATGAATTATTGCCTTCATGGTTTTCAAAAACTGGCTGAAATATTAATTGCTTTGGTGCTAATTGTTTCCAAAAAGGGAATGCTTTGCTGCTTTGTTTATTGTTGTCTTAGCATGACCCCTGCCCTATGTATGCCGTGTCCAGTCACCTGCCATCTGCCATCTGGACTGCTGGATGCTAAATACCGGTAACCAGCCACACCCCCACCTATAGAGAACAAGGACTTTGGGTTACTTCCCCCAACTTCAGCAGGAAGCAGCTTGGAGATGTTGTCACCCATTTTTCTGTACAAATGGAATGTAGAAATGGACATAGACAAATATAACAGTGTCCACTTTATTCTCTGAATACAGCCCTTGCTGCTTGGCCACTGCAACTTTTAAAATGGACACGTTTCTTTCTCCTCCTCTCTCCTGCTCCTCCCTAATCTCTCCCCTCCCTAATCTCAGGGGAAACTCATTACCTTTCTTCCCCATCCCAGGCAGAGTTACCTGTCCCTGAGCACACACCCACCACAGGAATGAAGGCACCAGACTTGGGGATGGCACCAGAAGATTCAGAAATGTCTGTCTCCCAAATTAACAAGTGCATCACACTCCAACAGAGAGCACAGGGAATGCTCTCTTCCCCTTTGACAGCTGAGGGGAAGAATCACAGCCTCTGGGACAGGAGTCCCCTGTGTCTCTCCTTTGCTAGGAGAGCAATGAACCTTTTTCTCTTTTCTCAAAAAAAAAAAAAAATTGGAACCTGAACCACCTACAAAATTCAAATGGATCCATGGGCTCCAGCAGGGCTGCTGCTGGGTCTGGTTCCTGTGAAGAGCCTGCTCTGAGTTCCGCTGGAGCTGAGAGCAGGAGGAGGGAGCTGAGACTTGGTCACTCCTTGCTGGACGTCACTGTGTCACGGTACCATCCAGCCAAGAAGTCTGGGTGAATTGCCAGCAGCAGGGGCCTCAGGTAGGTAGTCAACTGCAAGCCTGTGGGGAAGTCAGCTCAGGAGGACGTGGACACCCGGGGCAGGAGGACGTGGACACCCGGGGCAGGAGGACATGTGGACACCCGGGGGAGGAGACCCTGTGGACACCCGGGGGAGGAGGACGTGTGGACACCCGGGGCAGGAGGCCGTGTGGACACCCGGGGCAGGAGGACGTGTGGACACCCGGGCCAGGAGCCCTTGTGGACACCCGGGGCAGGAGGAGTGTGGACACCTGGGGCAGGAGGCCGTGTGGACACCCGGGCAGGAGG